ACAATCGTTCCCCTACAATGACATCACTAGCTCCCCTTTGTCATCCCCCAAAGCCCTAGCTATAAGTGATGAAGTGTATAGTGTATTTCACTGCATCTGGAATCAGGAAGACCTGAATTCAAATCTAAACTCAGACATTTACTAGTTGTGTGGCCCTGGGCAAGTCATTTAGCTTCCATCTGCCTTAGTTTCCTTATCTGTAAAATGGGAATAATAATAAGTATGTTATTGTTCAATCGTGTCCAATTCTTTGTGACCCCATTTGGGGTTTTCTTGGCAAAGATACGAGTAGTTTGCCATTTCCTTCTCCAGATCATTTTACAGATGAAGAAACTGAGGCAAACAGGGTTAAGTGACTTGCCCAGGGTCACATAGCTAGTAAGTATCTGAAGCCAGATTTGAACTCAGGAAGATGAATCCTCCTGACTTCAGGCTTAGCACTCTATCCACTGTGCCACCTAGCTGCCCAATAATAATTATAGCTAGCATTTGTATTGCACTTTAAAATTTCCAAAGCAATTTATAAAGATTTCATTTTATCCTCAAACCAACACTGGGAGGTAGGTGCTATTATTTTCCCATTAGACAGATGAGGAAACTGAGGCAGAATTTAAGTGACTTTCCTGGGGTCATCCAGCTAGAAAATGTCTGAGGCCAGATGTGAACTTAGGTCAATCCTGACCCCAGTTTCAACCCTCTATCCACTGTACCACCTAGCTGCATGAGAATAGCACCTATTTCCTGGGGTTGTTGTAAGGATAAAATGAGATAACATTTGTAAGTCACTTTGCAAACCTTGAAAGCACATATAAATCCTAACCATTCCTGTTATAATCATTACCATCATCATTATCATCATCATTATTAATTAACTAGACCTCACAGTCAGTCTGGACCAAGTTGTAAAACAGATCACCTCTCTCTCCTCTAAGCTGATATCAGTAAGTCCCTTCACATCCACAAAATAAAATAAAATGTCTCCTTGCATCCAGTCAGCTTATGTCCTGCAACAGAAAGGCCCACAGGGCTTGGAAGAAACTGCCTCACCCCCAAGACATCTGACTGTTCTGATCAGCTTTGGCCTGTTTCTTAATTCTCCTTGAAAATATGCTTTCTTCCTGAGGGGGAGATCATTATCCTGTAAGAGCCGGCAGTCTTCCAGGCCTGCCTCAAAGGCACTGCAGATGGCCTTGATAACCAGCCTGGTTAATTGCTCAGTGTGTGCCAACTATGAGAAAGTTCTCCTCACTCAAGTTTTTAAATAAGAGCAGAATGGAAGGGGAAGCAGGAGAGAGGAGAGAGCCTTGACCTGGGCCTTTCTTTTCTGGGTTTTGCCCTTACCTTCATGGCACCCATGGAACTGACTCATAGAAAGGCTGTGTGTGGGCTTGCAGACAGTCCTGGCAGCTGGATGGGTTTCAGGATGGGACTTTTGATGACGAGTATCCCAAAGGATGTTTGTTTGGGGATGGTCGTGGGGTGGGGGAATTTCTCTCCAGACCAATGGCCTGACCCCGAGCTATGCTGAAATCTGGCACTGAAAGGATTCTTAATAAATGCTTCTTCCCTGACCCAGTGGACCCAATTAAAAGTAACAATACAAGGATAACTAGCCGTGAAGGCCCAGGGAGAGGGGGAAAGGTCGGTCATTCAGCAAGTATTCATTAAATACTTACTATGAGCTAGGTACTGTGCTAATCTCTGGGGATACAAAGAAAGGCAAAAATGGAGGTCACATTCTAATGCAAGAGAAACGGGCAAACACCTATATGTATACAAGATTCTTATATATACAGTGTAGATGGGAAGTCATAGCAGAGGGAAGGCACTAATGGTGCTGGGATGCCTTTTTGTGAAAGGCCTTTTGCAGGAGATTAAATTTGAACTGAGTCTTGGAGAAAGACAGTAGGCCTCAGTGAGGCAGGAGAGCATCCCAGGCATGGGAAGAACCAGAAAAAAAGGAAAGGAGGTCCACAATCAGTAAGCCAGGGGTGGGGAACCTGCGGCCTTGAGGCCACATGTGGTCCTCTAGGTCCTCAAGTGCACCCTCAAGTTCATCCCTTTGACTGAATAGGGCCACACTTGAGGACCATAGGTCCACCTCCTAGCTGCCCCATCGTGGGATAAGGTTGCCTAATTTATACAATTTTTCAATATGTAAAATTAAGAATCATGGGTGTCACAGGTCCCCAGGAAGGGGAAGAAGAAGAAGAGGAGAAGAGGAGGGGAAAGGTTGCTGACAGAATCAGTTGGGATGTCTATGGGGAGGGCTCACAGGTTAATGGATCGACTTGCTAACAACAAAAAGAAGTAGGCATTGGCCTTTCTCAGCATTATAAGCATCACATATACAGGCTACTTCCATGTTTGACTATGAAATGCCCTACAATGGGGTGTCTCAGCCCCTTTAAACACTATGGCAGAACAAGATGGTCAAATAGAGGCATTCTATCTATCTAGAGGCTATAGGATGAGGAGGGAAATCACCCAGGAAGGTCTAGCTGATGCTGAGATATTTGCCCCCTCTTCCTTCATTTATCTAATTGGGGAAAATAAAATAAATCCCGCAGTAGAGACATGCATGATGATGGACAGGGCTGGTAACTGGGAGATAATGAGGAAGATGGAGGAGGAAGGAATTGGAGAAGAAAGGAGAAAAGAGAAGGACTGCAGAGAAGATATCAAACGTTTGGAAGGCAGTATAGAAACTTGCCCTGCCCTGGCCTGACAAATTAGTGGACTAGGTGAGTGTGCCACAGAGGAATGAGAAGTGAGGAGAGAAAGGAGAGGGAAAAATCCCCCTTCACTTTTGAATGACAAGTATCGAGTGGCCAAGACAGGATATTGGATATTTTTTTGTGTGTGTGGTGAGGCAATCGAGGTTAAGTGACTTGTCTAGGGTCACACAGCTAGTAAGTATCATGTGTCTGAGGCGGGATTTGAACTTAGGTCCTTCTGACTCTAGGGCCAGTGCTCTATCCACTGCGCCACCTAGCTGCCCCCAAGACAGGATACTGTGACCACAATATCTGTAAGTGTTTCTTGGGATTTTCAGAAATACAGAAATCACACAGGAGCCCTCTCAAACTGTCTCCTGAACCACTGCTTCGATGTGAGCATTTATACCTCAGAAATTGGCAAATGCTACAAAATAGACCTTGATTTATTATTTGTTGTTTGTCTAGACTAAAAAAAAAATGTTAATAATGCAAATTAAACTTAAAAGTGTATCCTAGGAATTTTTTTCTTCTGGAAAGCTGGTTGTTAAATATTTACCAGAATACCCCCTAGACTAATGGTGGTTGCTTCTAGGATTTTCATTATGTTTTTTCTTCCATCTAATACAACTTACAAGCTGAATACTTAACAATAAGGGGATGCTTTCAGAATACTAAGGAATACTATGTATATATTTTTATGCATTTTCCGGGGGTGGTAGTGGAGCAAAGGATATTGAATCAAGAGAATGAGAAACACCCCACAAATTTGGAGAGGGGAAGAGTTCTAAGAAAAAAAAGTCTCTGAAACAAAATTTACAGAGAAATTATCAGTACTGTGCTTTGGTGGGGCAGGGGGAGGAGGGAGGAGTATGCATAATAGGATATTGATTCTGTATTTTGTATTTGGATCCTGGATCATGTTTTCAGAAAAAATGAGTTCAAAGTCAGAATTGGATTCTAGATTTTTTTATAGGGATGTTTGGGATCAAAAGCACCATCCATAATGTGGACACAATTCTTGGTGACTCTCTGAGGAGGACCATTAAATCAGTGTGAGTCTGACTTCTCTTCTTTCATACTCTCCAACACCATAGACCAGATCCCTCTAAGATGGGCAACGAGTCTCATACCTCAAGCTTTAGAAAGTCCAAGACTCTGGTCACAGTTCTTTTTCCCAGCATAGGAATTTTTTTTCCCTTTCTGTTTTATTCTTTGTTATGAAGGATGGCCCTCTAGGAGAGGAGGAAGATGTATTGGGAAATGGAGCTGGTATAAAAACAAAAGGTATGAAGATTTTTTAAGGATAGCCAATAGGAAATTGGAGTATTGTAGAGCCTCGGATCATCCCCCATTGGGCAAGAGGTGTCACTGAACACAGTCCTCCAGGATCAGGGACCTATTTAAGGTAGGTAGGTGGTGTGGTGAGTAAATACAGCATTGAACTTGGAGAGAGTTCAAATCCTGCTTCAGATGCTTATTGGACAAGTCACTTTGAACCTGAGTAATATGATGACACTGACCTCCTTGCTTTTCCTTAAATATGACACTTCCAACTCTGGGCATTTTCATTGCCTATCTCTCCCATGCCTGGAATTATCTCCATCTTCATCTCTGCCTCCTGGATTCTCTGGCTTCCTTCAATTCCCAGCTAAAATCCAACCTTCAGCAAGAAGCCTTTCCCAGGCATTCTCTCTGAGACCACCCCCAATTTATCCTGTCTATATCTTGTTTGCAAATGTTGTCTCTGAGTTCCTTGAGAGCAGAGGATGTCTTTCTCCTTTCTTTGTACCCCTACCCCTTAACACGGTGCCTGGCAAAAAGCGGGCACTTAATGAATGCTTGTTGACTAATTAGCAGACTAAATTCTGCCTCAGATACTTACTGGGCAAGTCATTAATCTCTCTGGCTTCTTCCTCATCTGTTAAAAGAGGGTATTGGACCAGATGGTTTCTATGGGCCCTGCCAGCTCTAAATCAATAATCCTATGAAAGGGGTCCCTTCAAGGTTTACACTCTGCTCAGGGCCCAACAGGGAACTACATTTCCCTCCTTACCCATTCCCAACTAGCAACAGGTTGATAAGAAGATTAAGGATGCAAAAAATCAAGCAAAGGATAGCTGGAAGAAGAAAACCAAAGAAATGGTGTGAAATGCAAGAACATTCAGGGAAATTCCAAGTCCATGGTACTTCATTCCCTTCCACACCTCCATAATTACCATCTTCAGTTCAAAGTGGGGACTGGAGGGAAAGGGGAGGGAACAGAGATAGCTTGGCACTTACTAAGTTCTGTCACAGGCACAATCTCATCCCGACAGAAACGGCTGCAAGTAGTCTCCTCAAACACTCCCCGATTGAACTTCTGGCACTCCACGCAGTCTCTGGATTCAAGAGAGGAAGAATAAACTATAAGGTCTTTGAAAGCCAGGTCTGTCTCATTTCATGGATGCATTCCTCAGCAGCACCTACCTCTGGGTCTTACACATCGAAGGCCCATAAAATCCTAGACTTCGGACTAGAAGAGAACTTAGAAGTTAAGGATTCCAACCCTTTCTTTATTGTTGTTCACTAGTTTTTCAGCAATGTACAACTCTTTGTGACCCCAGTTGGGGTTTTCTTGGCAGAGATACTGGAGTGGTTCATCATTTCCTTCTCCAGCTCATTTTACAGATGAGGAAATGGAGGCAAATGGTAAGTGACTTTCCCAAGGTCACACAGCTAGCAAGTGTCTGAGGCCAGATTTGAACTCTGGAAGATGAGTCTTCCTGACTCCAAGCCTGGCACTCTATACACTGCACCACCTAGCAGCCTCTCTCATAACAGTGGTTGTTGAATAGAACTAGGGAATATTCCATCCCCACTACACTTAGGACCATAGAGACAAACACTATGAGAGAATAAGGTTACTCAGGGCCCTCCTGTCAGACTCCCTTAAAAGCAGCAAATTTTCCAAGTCTTGCCTTTGTTTACTTCACTAACCCTAGGGCAGAAGTTGGGTTTCCTCATGTCTCCTGATGTTCTTGAACTCTCTACTACTAGCAAGAGAACATGGCAGAGAGAAAGAAACAAGCATTTATTAAGTACCTACTATGTACAAGGCACTAGGCTAAGGCTTTACAAATATCATCTCATAATATCATCCTTGTAACAACCCTGGGATGTAGGTGCTATTATCATCTTCATTTTACAGATGAGAAAACTGAGGTAGATAGAGGTTAAGTGGCTTGCCCACTCACACAGCTAGTAAATATCTGAGGTTTAGATCTAAATGCAAGTTTTCTTGGCTGTAGACTCTATGCTCTATCCAACTGTCCCAGGACTATCTCAAGGTCTCTTGTGTCCTCCTGAAGATAGTTGTTTGTCCTTTGTTTTTGAAGAGTACCAATGATATCACTGCGTGATGTCTTGACTCGCATGTGAATTAGATCTAAGTGAGGCAGAGTTGCACAAAGTCATCAGCCTAGAGTCAGAACAAAGTCAAGACGGATGCAGTGGATGACCCTGGCATTTTTGATGCCTGACCAAGCTCTAAGCACTCCGCAGCACCTGCTTCAGCCACCTTCATGACCACTGGGACAAATTATTCTCATCTACCCATGCTTAGGGTAAACATCCTCCTAACTCACTGAGGAGTTTGAAGCCTGTCAGTTACCCTCAACCCGGTTTAGCCCATCTACCCAGGATGGTTTTTCCAGAGTGTAGCCACTGAATACACTACAGCTTCTTGGAGCCACAGATGAGAGCTGGGAGACAGGTGGACACCAAAGGTGGATGAGCAGTCCTGAAAAGGGCTTGGCAAGCCCTCACACCAGAGGGGCTAGTCCTCCTTGAACACCCCTTACACCCCACCTGAAGGTAGTTTGAATAAAGTAACAGTGGTCTGGGGTCTTGGGGAGGGTTAAAGGCTCCAAGGGCACCCAAATGAGCCAATGTCCATTTGTAAAGATAATATTTGTAAAGTGTGTGCAAATGTTAAAGAGATACCAAAGTATTATTATTATTATTATCATGATTATCATTAAATCCATGGCTGTCTCTCTTCTCTGATGCCAAATTGGGCCATATTCCTTGAAGTTGTTTCCTGTCCCCAATTCTCCATGCCTGCCTTTCTCTGTTCCCTGATCTCCTACTGGGTGAGTAAGGGCAGCTAAGGTGGTGCAGTGGATGGAGTGCCAGGCCTAAAGTCAGGAAGACTCATCTTCCTGAGTTCAAATCTGGTGTCAGACACTTACTAGCTCTGTGACCCCAGGCAAGTCACTTCACCCTGTTTGCCTTAGTTTCCTCATCTGTAAAATGAGCTGGAGAAGGAAATGGCAAACCACCGCAGTATCTTTGCCAAGAAAACCCCAAATGGGGTCATGAAGAGTAGGACGCGACTGAAACAATTGAACAACAAAACACTGAATGAGTACCTCTGCTCTAAGAAGCTATTACCATGGCACAGAGGGAAAAAATCTCCACCTCTAACCTCTGGTAGCGGGTACAAGGGTTACACTCCATGAAGCTGCTCCTTGCTTCCAATCCTTTCCCAGACTGGCAGCCTTAGCTTTCCTTTTTCAAGGTCAATAGGGATGTGGCCAATTCCCGGCCAGCCAGCAGCCCCTTGACCTTATAATTTCCTCAGGAGAATTCTGTTGGATATTATAAAAGGATAACAGGGAACAGACACTGTCTTTGCACTTCATTTTAACATACTAATACCTTGTTATCTGTTAACCTCTCACAGGCTAGGAGGAAAACCAGCTTCCTTCTCCTTCTCTCTCTTCATGAACAATACTAATACCTCACATTTACATGGTGCTTTAAGATATGCAAAGCACTTTACAAAAATTACCTCACGTGATTCTCATAAGAACCCTGGGAGGTAGGTGCTGTTAGTGTCGTCATCCCTACTTGACATATGGGGTAACTGGGGCTCAGAGAAGTAGGTCATATCTGAGGCTGGATTTGAACCCAAGTCTACCTGGCTCCAAGTCTAGTACTTTATCCACCAATGTGCCCCTACATGTCCATAAGAGACTAGACCTACAGGGCAGGGTCAAGCTGATCCCCGCCAAAACAAGTCTCTGCTTCCCACTGCCTACCGTGCACCTCTACATTGCCCACCGTGCACCTCTACATTGCCCAGCCATCTATGCCCAAACTCCCCATGCCCCTCGTCAATTCTCATCCACTCACTTCTTAAAAGTGCAGGCATCAGGGCAGGTGGGACACTTCTCACAGGTGTCCCCGTAAGAGCCGGGCTGGGTGCAGACACATTTGCCGCAGACACATTTACCTCGGCCGCTGCACAGCAGCCCATTGCTTGACATACACATGTCTTTGCGGGTGGTGCAGTTACAGTAGTCGCCGGTCCAGTCAGAGTCACAGAGACAGTCCCCACAGCTGCACTGACCATGACCTAGAGAGAGAGAGAGAGAGAGAGAGAGAGAGAGAGAGAGAGAGAGAGA